TTCACAACGAAACACACGGCGGGCTAGAGTGAGTGGAGGCGGGTGGACTTGAGAACGGCGTGGCCAGCGGATTTGACGAAGGAGCGTCCGGAGGGCTTGCGGCAATCACATGTGACGACCCCGGGCTGGACTCCGCTTCGTCCACGGTGAAAGCCGATCCGGTGATCCACAGCACTAAGTTGATGTATTCCCTCAGCGACCAGCACGGATCAGCTCCAGGCATGACGAAGCGTATATCGTCCTCTTTTGGAAGGCCAAACAAAGTAGTTTCGCTTTCACAATGAAACACACAGCGTCTTCACGACATGGCAGCGGCGGCAACAACAATACTACAGCGAGAATCAAAGTTACGCCTTCTTTCTTTGCGTGAACATTTGGGCGGTGTTATGCAAATCTTCCCACATAGTGACGTAGACATGTGGGGGCGTGTTAGAACGAGCCGTTTTAGGTAGGCGTGGTTGACTCAACTTTTATAAAGAATATCTCTTTGGATTTGAGACTTTAGTCTTTGCAACTTTACAGATCTTCTTTATGCACCAAGAGCTTGTAACACTCCGAAGAGAAAGGAAAAATTGAAATCGCATCATATGACCCCTAAACATATAAATAAATAAAAATCGGAATCAGTACCAAAATAAAAAAAAAATCGGAATCGAACAGCCCTGTAATAAGGCTATTTGTCATTTTTCTTTGAAACTATTGTGTATTTTTGCAGAATTCTGCAACATTCTTATTTGGCAAGATCTGGTGGATGTACATTTTACCTAGCTTCACAGACAGCAACTGACTGGATTAATTTATTATAATTAATTTAAACCAGTCAAAGTGATATTTTGTCTTAAATATTCAATTAACCATGAGCAAATGAGCCAAGTACTGATGACTGCTGATAGGAATGCAAACAGTAAAGCTCATACAATCTGCTGCCTGAAAACAAGCATAGAAATACCAACAGTAGTGGCCTGGAAACCTCAAGAGATTTAATCAAGCCTTTCCTAATAAGAAAAGTGTCAACTACAAAGCACTAAAAGATGTTACTTAGTATGATGCAATGAAAAGAGAGCATAAATAAATAAATAATAACAATGCTTGTGTCTTAAAAGAAAACAACGACAACCAAACAGATTATTTAGAATGATTTATTGTCACCGATAAAAAATTTATATTTTACAGAACCAAAAGAACACGATGCAGAGAATGGGTTCATGCTCAAAATAAAGATCTAATGACTCATAATGATCTAATGAACAGGATGCATTTATGTGTTGACAAGACAGGAAGTTTACTAATTTCAGAGACATTTAAAGGGGCAAACGTGTGAGTTTCATTCTGTTTAAAGAACAGGGCATCAAAAGAAAAAAGATGATATCAGAAAGCTTCCTGTCGCTACTATATTTTTTCTCAGAATACACCAGAAATTAATAACACACACACAAAAAAAAAAAGAATTTAACCTACTTATAGAAGTCTTTACAACAATATATTTGACAGAAAACAGAATATTACACAGGTAAGGAGAGATTTAATGGCTATGTTGAAAAGGAACCCATAGATTAGGACTAGGGTTACACAATACACAATATGTTGCAATGACAATCTTTCATCACAGAAGCTAATTTTTTTCTATTTAATTTTATTTGTACTTTACTCTTTTTTTCTGGTTTTGATATCATCAAAGGGATATTTGTAATGAATATTTACATATATACATCAAATGGACAGTAAAATATAACAATTATCATCAATGCTCTTGCTCAACTTGGTAAAACTGATGGAACAAATTAGACAAACTATTAATTAATATGCATTAAATTTTATATATATATATATATATATATGAAATTGACGGAGCTCATTAGACATACTCTATTCATTATATACACTGAATGAGAAATTATTGAACATATGCTCAATAATGCTCAATTGGTTTTTTTCTTTTATGTTGGTGCTCCTGTGTCCTCCTGACAACAAATTTCTCAACAAATCACTTTTCATACATACAAACCACAGTCCCGTAAATGCTCAGTAGTCAGTGTTTGGGCTCCTGATTGACGTGGTTTTGCTTGTCGTTGACAGAAAGGCAGCATTGATCTTCAGACACGGTATATGCTTGGACAAAAGCTTCAGAAAATGGCTTTGAAACTTCTTCCCCAAAAAAGTGTAGAAGACAGGGCTGATGCAGCAGTACAGGTAAGCAAAGTTTCGGGTTATGTACAGCGCATAGTCGAGGGCGTTTGAGCAATCGTTCTGGTCTCCAAAGGACGTCTTGATGGCTTTCAACAGGATGACCACGTTGTAAGGCGTCCAGCAGATGAAGAAGGTGAAGATGATGACAAAGATTAGTTTGACCGCCCTGCACTTCTCCATCATGCGAGTGGACATGATCCTGATGGTTATGCGGATGTAGCAGTACAGGACGATAACCAGAGGTACCAAGAAGAAAAGGAAAAACTGCTGATAATAACCAATCAGCTCCCATTTTGTGAGGAAGCTCTGGTGGTAACCAGTCATTTCGCACAGCAAACCGTCTCCACCGTTCATCACATCGTGAAAAACTATATCCTTTATACTAGCCAATATACTGAGCACCCAGACGGCGGCGGACGACACAAACGCGTACGCCATCCTCCTGCTCTGGGCTGCTGTGATGGCGTGGACGACTGCAAGGTAGCGGTCAAAGGTCATGAGGGTGAGGAAGAGGATGGAGCTGTTGAAGCCGATGGAATAACAGCTTCCCACCAATTTGCAAAGGCCTCTGCCAAAGATCCATTCCGATTTGTGGTAGACTGCCCAAAAAGGAAGGCTGGAGGCGAAGATGAGGTCCGAAATGACGAGGTTGAGCAAGAATATGTTGGTAACCGTGCTGAGCTTCTCATATTTGTAGATGATGCACAGCACCAGTCCATTTCCAACCAAGCTCAGCAAGAAGTTAGTGTAGTAGAAGGCTGGGAGAAATGCTGCACCGAACTGGATCACATCACTTTTCTTGCATAAATGAACCTCTTCAGATACGACTGTGTCTTCGTATCCCGTGTCATTGGAGCCGTTAAAAAAACTGAACCAGTCATTATCATCATATTCATCCATTGGTGTGTCTGTTTGCTGAAGTCAGACATACAAAAACACAAAAACATACACACAACACAGTTAATATACATTTGGATTGAGGTTCATTCTGAGCATCAAATATTGGCTTCACTCACCAATGCCTTTGGTAGAGGAGCTTGTGAAACTCTCAGCAGTCCTGGCAGAACTGATGCAACCACGTTGTGGCTTACCAAGAAAATTCAGCGCACATCCTGAACGAGGAACGCAAAGAGCATTTAAATCACCTCGTCAGCATATGTGAAACCGCACCGCCTTCACTATTTTTTGGTCAATGTTTACAAAATGTGATGGGGTAAAATATTAAATGTTTTTTTTTTTTGAGAAATTACTTTTTTGAGAATGAGAAATGACTAATCATTAAAAAATGATTACAATTTTTTAATATTTATTGTCATTTTAAGAGTTTCAAATGTCAGCTGCACAAATGAAATTATTTTTTTTTAAAACATGATATGGCTAAAATCCTACGTGCATTAACAAAAAACCAAAAAAAAGAACATGAACAGGAAACATTAAATAATTAATAGATGTTAAATGGTGATCTTTGCACAGACCTATCCAGTCAAAAATAGACATGCCGCATCTACACTATTAAGATTACTGCTAAAATCTAAGACAATTTCTCAAACAATTAAAAGTAAAATTAAATAATAATAATGATAAAACAATGCTTTAGTAGTAAAAATGTTCCTATAAAAACTAACCAATAGCCCTTGAGCAGAAGTATTCTCAAATTTGAACATAAGCGTTCAACATATAGCCTGTAGAGATCGCTTCACATCCTGTACAGAGGTAGCTTGCCTAGGGCAGTGCAGTGGATACAGTATAGCAATTTTTCTTTAAAGGAACAATACACCCAAAAAATGAAAATTGAAAATGAAAATTAAATTGGTCACAGGACACAAGAGAATCAATGATGTATGTACAGTGTGTGAACATGCACAATGTTTGAGAGCATTTTCACCAAATAATGATTGTTTTTTTTAGTCTGTTTCCCGCACAAAGGCTTCAGAAGACTTGGAATATAATGCATGAGTTCTACTGAACCTCTTTAACCTGGCTTACACATAACACACTAACACATTTCTAATATTCAAATCCGTTAAAGGATTTTTAGGCTGCATTAATTAGGTCAACCGGAACCGGGAACACTTCCCATAACACCCGATGTACTTGCTAGAAGATCGCTAGAAGAATGGCATCTACGCTAATATTAGTCTGTTTCTCTCTTATTCCGAGGTCACCGTAGCCACCAGATCCAGTCTGTATCCAGATCAGATGGTCACTGCAGTCACCCGGATCCAGTACGTATCCAGACCAGATGGTGGATCAGCACCTAGAGAGGACCTCTACAGCCCTGAAAGTCAGCAGAGACCAGGACAACTAGATGAGCCCCAGATACAGATCCCCAGTAAAATATTGG